ATGAGAGAAGGCCGGACCCTTTCTTTTGATTAATTTACCAGGCATTTAGGGAAGCACAGCTGTACCTGAGAATATTCCTGGGGAAAATAAGAAACTGAATCAAAACCAACCCCCTAAAAAAAAAAAAAATTAAAAAATAAAAGGCTGCTGAGGTGTTTGATCAATGTCTGGAGAGTGCTCTGTGACACCAAGCCCAGTGGTGGGGTAAGAACAGCATCAGCAGACCCAAGTGGTGCTTTTCAAGCTCAGCACTTTTAATACCAGTGGAATCTCTTCCCTTGCCCTCCATCCTTTTCAGTGTAACCTGGATCGTACATTAATTTACCTCCAGGGAGTTTGCAAACAGCTGCAGTGGGCCAGCTCAACAGCAAACACTCCATGGTGCTCTATTTACTGGGGACTCTTGTTATGAGGACGTGCTTGAAAATAATAGGCACATAATTTGCTTTATCAAGGCAGAATAAGAGGCAAAACCGGTCCAGAGAAAAAAGGCAGTTGAGCACATAAATGAAAGAAAATTGCAGATTTAATCTAATTCCTCATACTGAAGTTCCCACATCACAGAGAACATAATTGTTTTCACACATTTTGGAACTTATTGTGTACACATGATCTTGAAATTAATTGGATGAGTCACCTGCATCTGTAGAAACACAGCCTTTATGCCACACTGGAAAAAACAAGCAAAACAAAACAAAACAAAAATCAGGGAAATCAATGGGTAGGAATGCCTCCTTTAGACAGCCCAGTCTGAGAATACATTTCCTCACACTATTCCTCCAATATCCCTGAGAGAATCTTTTCTCAATTTCTTCTCTTCCACTTTTTTTAATTCTTTTTAAGATTGCAGCCTGAAAATACATTTTTAATTACTTTCCAATATACAATTAAACAGGAAACATATTAGTTTTAAAAAAGTCTTTAGGCAATTATTTAAAAATATCTTCAAGTGTTGTATGATGGAAACAGATCATCTGGCAATCTGTCTGAGAAATAAACTTCCATAAGACAGCTAAATAGAAATTCAATTTACACCTGTGATAAACCTATGCTATGCATAAACATCTAATTTTATTTGCCTGGAATAACTGTAGATCATGTTCAGCCTTAAATAAATCGTTGTTAACCAGGGTTAGGGAAAAAACAATCAAACAAAAAACCAAGAAAACACTAAAAAAATATTTTTATTCAGCCAAGAAGATGCACATAAAGGTGGGTTGCAGTGCAACCTGATCATTGTTTGGAGATTGCTTAGGTAATGATTTTTCATCAGAGGGAGGTTTTTTATTTTATTCAGTTGCACAGGAACATCAATTTATTAATTTTAACAGTCACTTTGCAAGCCCTGGGTTAATCATCACTAATCTTTTGCAGACTGTGCTGCAGTTAAGTATTGTTATCAGTGTAACAGGTTTGCTAAATATAAAGCAGCAATGGGATTGAAGGGCTCTTTTGTGCATGTTTTTTATTTGTAACACTGAAAAAAAGAGCTAACCCCAGAGGTCTGATCTGCATCAGGCAAGGACCATGACAGCACCTTGTTTACTGCTCTCTAAAGGTATTTATGAGCAAAATGGGTTTCAGAATCTCCACGGTTCTCAGGGTTTGAGGTCTATGTCAGGTAACATTATGTAAGTTTGAGTGGCTCTGAGGTGGCCTGATATTTGTCATCAGAGCAGAGAAGAACAGATGCCAAATTCACATTCTTAATTGAAATATAACTAAAATTAGCAGTACATAATTTTGATATGAACTGCAATTGAATGAGAGCCAATACAAAATTTACTTTATTCACTTCAGTTTAATTTCAATTTAATTACTGGTTCTAGCATATTTTTGGTCTGAACTTGCATCAACTTGTACCGGATGTTCTTGATGATGAGCACCGCTTAGAAAACACAAGAAATCAACACGTTGCTCTGAAAACAAAAAAAATCTGTTTTCCTATGTCTTAGAAGGAACAACTCATTCTAGGGAATCTATATCCCATAATTACAGTAGAGAAATCAACTCCTATAAAAATTTACAGCTAGCTTTGTACATTTTCATTAGACATAACTATTACCTGTTTCTTCCAGAGCTGGGTTTTGAGGTGGTGTTTTTTCCCTCCTATAAATTAATGTCAGATTTGATTTTTTTTAAATTAGTATTCGTTTTCCAGAATTGATTTTGAAATGTGAGAACCCTTAAGTAACAATTCTCAGACCATTTGCATTTTATACGTTATTGTTCTGCATGTGATGGGTGTCAGACTGGGATACACAGAGTTCATCTTTTACCAACTCCTGTGAAATTTACTCAACACTGAGCAGGAAAAATAAAAGGATGTTGGCTGTCCTCCTGGACTGTCTGCCATCTTTTGAGCAGGGAAGTGAAGAGACAAGCCTGACTAATCCAATGCCAAAAGAACAACCACTTTTGGTCTCCTGCCTCTCATTCCACCCCATGCACAAGTGTCACAGGTAGAGAGCAGGGGAGAGTTGGAACCACAGTACCAAAATGCCCAGGGGATATGTGGAAGTGAACTACATCCAGGGTAAAAAGAAATCTAGCATTTTTGCAGCTTCGTTCCTATGGAAAATTCATTCCAAACCTGAATTATTTAATATTTGAATGAATTGAGGGATGGAAAGGCTTTCATCCGAGAGAGGTTTCCCACTCAGTAATTTAACCCCAGCTGTTACTGTTTTTATCAAGACTAAAAAGCAAAGAAAGAGGGAGAAGATGGGAAAAAGAAGGCAGGATGTTATCAATATATCAAACCACGTATCATTGACTTCTCAAAATCAAAATTGGAAGCTGAAATTTTTTTTTGGTTTTTTTTCCATCCTTATTCTACTCTGATTTGCTTTTATGGCTAAATTCATAGTTTCCTGGACACATTGAATCTAGGTCACTAGGAGAAAGCAGAGCTCATCTTGTACAATGAAAGTAGTCATTAAGGCCTTTTTCTGTTTTTAATCCAGTGTAAATTAATCCTGTTTATGCAACAGTCAGAATGAATTATTGGTTTATAGGATGACATCTGTATTTACTTTTTATCTCTCTCTGAATTCTATCAGCTGGACTATCTTTCAGCATTCTACTGAAATATTTCAGGTCCATTACACATCAGAAGTTCATACCCATAAATGTTGAACTGCTCACCTCCTTTCTTATGAACTCTTAATAATATTCAGTTCCTGGAGTATTTTTTTTTCTTGCAGGAGTTTCACTTTCATGATAACAAGAGAAGGTTTTCAATAATCCTATTAAATTTCATAAATTTGCACTTAATCCCATTTTAGTTTCTTTAAACCACACAATTCTACTTGTTAATTATGCGTTTCTCAGCTTTGGAGATGTATCATATCTTGTTCAATCTACAGATATAAAGGCTTTGTTCTAATTAAATTAACAGCTAACATTTTCTGAACACAGAAATTTGAATTAACTAAATCTGTAATTTCAACTCTTATCTAATAGTAAATGGAAACTCAGAAATTCCTCTGCTTATGTGTAAAGTTTGATTGTTATGATTCAGTCATGCTATGAATGTTGTATAGTTTGTAATACTTTGTGGTGAACAAGTTTTCAAAATTGCATCATTCCTACAAACATATGTTTGAGGGTGGGGGAAATTGCTGCCATCTTTTGGAAACACTCAGGGAAAAAAAAAAAAAAGAAAAAAGAAACTAAAGATGCATAAATAAAGAAAAAAAATTACTGAAAGTTCCAGCTGGCACATCCTGGATACCTGCTTTCCTATGGAAAAGATAATCTGAATTTGCAGAAATTTATCCCGAGATTACCAGTATGTTGTTCTTTCCCATTTTATATGGTGATTATATAGTAACATCTGTGCAAGAACTGTTTGCTTGGTTAGTAATACTGGTGGGAAATAGCTTTCACTGAAAGATGTGCCACTGAAGTTGAAGCCAAGTACAACAAAAACACAAAGATTATGGATACAGAAAGAAAATTATGTTCACTCACAATTTTTAACTTTTTGCACCTATACTTCATCTTACTGCTTGAATATAAATAAAACTTGTTTGATACATACAGTTATTACAGTTTAGTGTCACAGTTTTTTATCCTGAATATTCCTTGGAATATAGCTGGGATTCATTATATTATATTATATTATCCTGCTTTTTGCAATTTTTTTTCTGTTGTTCTTTTGAATTTCCAGGAGGTGCAATCAAATTCTTGTTGTGTGGCCAGCTCAATATACTGACTTCTGAGACAAACTCTGCGTGTTCAGCAAAGTCTTTGTAAGAACAGAGAATGCTGGTTTCAGCGAGAATAAATCAAAGCTGATAATATCTGGGAAAAAGAAAACACTGTCCAGGGAAAATAATGACTCCTCTGAAGAGATATCATTGTCAGACACTAGCATATCTTGCCAGCTGTAGACAGGGATATTAAAATATGCTGCAAATCTGCCTCATAGCCTGGAGTGAGACTCAGGCAGGCATGCTGTACCTGTCCAAAGCAGAGAGGAGACTAAACTCAGCTGAGCCACAATGACACTCAGAAAAAAAAAATAAAATAAATTTAAAAAATTTAAAAAATATAGAAAACAGAGCCGCTGCAGGCATCCCCGACACTCTGCAGTGTACAGCTGACTTTGCAGCTAGTTTTATTTCTGCCTGAGCACCAGGACCCTCAGGCCAACAAGTTACATCCACGCTGTCCAGCAAACCAGCAGCCCTCAGCAAGTGGGAGAGTGACTCGGGCACTTGCTAAAGTCACAGCAGCAGCCTGGCTGCTCCCTCCTCACACACAGCACACCCAAGGTCAGCCCTACACAAATAACCAATTAAAACGGCTCGCAGCGTTCCAGCCTGAAACAAATCAAGCTGACTCATTGCCCCAGCCACGAACTATAGTCTTTTATCCATGCCATGTGCAAGAGAAAGAGGGACGAAACCCCTCATTAAAGGATGTCCTCCTCCGGTGAACTTTACGCTCCCAATTCACCCCTTCTCTCCCAAAATATTGTTGCTGAAACTTACCGCTTTTGCCAACTCCCCCTGCTCCCAGCATCACCACCTTGTACTCTCTGGAGCCTGCTGAAGAGCTGCTCGAGGAGCTGATCATTGCATTTTCTAGCTCCATCTTGCACGAAAGCAGCAGAAGGGACTGAAACTGAAGAAAAAGCAACTGGCAGGTGTTTTCTCTGATCTTAAACAACTATAAAAGCTGCGTTAGGGGGGGGAAAAAAAAAAAGGCAGGAAAGGAAGGTATAATGCAAGAGCTATGATTTAACAGCCTCACACACTGCTGTGCCTGTGTTAGCTGGAGAAGGTCTCATAGCAACCACTTTAACAGCTTCCAATAAAAATCTCTCTCTGCCCCCTCCCAGCTCCGTATCGTTCTCTGTTTCTCTTCCTGGACAGCAGCAGTTTTGTGAGGCTTAAGAGGTCTGGTACCTCTGGGGCTGCAGCGTCACTGAACAAATGGATCAGATATTTCAGCAAAATGAAATGGATCAAATTTCTTAATTATGAAGCTTGTTATTCTGTGTAGTACTTGCTTGAATCTTAGAACAAACCAGACAACCTTCCTCTCACCTTGGAGGTAAATATGCATCCTATAATCATCAAGTCTGCTGGTTTTCACACTTGATGCTATTACAAGTGAAACAAGTAACAACTTTTAACAGCCTTTTTTTTCATGTTTTGCTGCAAACACAGAAGTTTTCTAGGGCTTGATTTTTTCCCAGATCAATACTAATTTTAGTTCATTTGCATCAATTATTTGCATAAATGAACCAGATACTGTGGGGGAAGAAATAGACAACTTTACTTGTTGTTTCCCTCCTTTTTCCATACAATTTCTCAAGGAGACAGGGACTTAAGGCAGGGGGATATATTTGTTCATTCAGAAAAGGTGTAAAGAAAAACCAACTTTTAAAATTTATTTCATACAAATCTCAAGTGATTTATCTTACCAAGCTGGTGAATGACATTCAGTATGAAAATCTCTCACTGAAATTATATGTAAGTGAAAACTTACAACAAAACACAACAGCTTTTCATTGATTTATGGCTTTGTTCTTAGAACATCTAGTCTATTTAAAGAACATGATAAATAATAAGATACTTGCCCAGCTTTAACCGTTATTTGGTATTTTTGGGGACCAAAAAGCATCTACTGCAAAATGAGGGCAAAGCAAAACTTGTACTCCTTTGGAAGTGCTGGGCTTTCATTACAGAGGTAACTGTTAAGGAGACGTGGAAATGGAAGCAGCAGAAGCAGCTAATGAAGTATTTTGGAAGTCAGACACCTTCATCTATCCACTCTTCCAATGATTTCACAGAGAGTAAACACACGGTATTACTTAGAATTAAAAATGGAAAGAGAAACGATAAAAATAACATAGACTGATGGAGGGCATGATTTGAAGAAAATTAAGGAGAGAAAAAAGGTGTAGAAGGGCACATATAGTTTAGAAAGGTAACTTAATGGGCTAAGAAAATACTTTATTAAAAAAGAACAGAGGTATGATGATAATAATAATTAGAATGGAGAAGGTGAACAGAACATGAATACTTGTTTTTCTTCCTAATAAAAAGACTGTGGATGGAACAGAAAGCAGCCCAGTTAAAAAAAGAGAAAAAAAGAAATCTTAGAAAAGTAACAACTTAAGTAGGAAAATTTTTGATGCTTGAAACATGAGCAGTATAACTGATCTTGTAATGAAAAAAAAAATTAAATACAGAGCAATATTAACTCTGTAGTGGACTTTTAAAATCACCATCTCTTGCTTATGGAATACTCACATGAACAGATCCTGGAAAAACAGAGAGAGATCAAGGTATGATGGTCTGCTTTCGGCCAGGCAGCAAAAGAGGGCAGGGGCAGAGTCACTGTGTTCTGAGAAACCCTCCAGAATCAGGAGCTGCTCCTGTCCTGAGGGAGTTGTGAGCCCGCCCTGCTGCGAGTGACTCTGTGCTGCCAGGGCAGGGTGCCTGTGTTTATGTCTGGATGGCAACCCCAGAACTCAGAAGGGTTTGCTCATCAGAGCATAAAGTAGGACATAAACAGGAAATGCTGAATATGATATTATGGTATCTAAATATTGAATTTCAGCGGGAGCAGACAGGTAGGTCAGTTAAACACCATTGCGATTAGAATTTAATTTTCATTAAAACCATTCTTGTGTGGTCATTATTGATACAGTGGATGAAACTAGTAATGATGTCAAAACCACTGCTTAGAACAGCTGGGTTTTTCTGGTAATCTCCCATCAACACAACAACCTTCTCCTGAGGAGCTTTTGTTCCCATACCGGGCAGGAGCATTTGGCTGATATTGAAATGTCAGAAAAGTAAGTGGCTGTGGGCATGGCATGAAAGGCAACCTAAACAAAATATATTTATGTATAAAAATATTAGTGAACATAATGTATACATGATAGGCAAAGATTAGTCAGATTTTTTTTCCAGCTGTTCCAGCTGCTTGCCATAGAAAAGTGTCAAGTTCATTTTTTCTTTTTTTTGAAGATGGAACATGGGGGAGGAATTTGTAAAATGGAAGAGGCTACAAAATGGAATTATGTTAGAGTGTGAGGATGAGTAAGGCAACCAAATGGAAAGCCACTTCCTCATCTTTTAAAAAAGAACAAGAAAAAATTGATAGCACTTTCTTGTCTGAAAGAACAGAATTAAGTATTTGTTGATGAGAATTAAACACTTAAAATATTTGCTTTATGGACACATACATGCTTATTTAACTTTAGCAGTATAATAATTGTTATTATATTATATAAACAAATATATTGTACAGACATATCCTCCTAAATTCCACAGATTTGTCCATAGATTGAAAAGGTGATACTGCATTCCTATTTATAACACAGGACTTGTTCTAATTGGTTTTCATCATAACTTGCTATTGACAAACAGCTGCCTCTGCCCTAATTTCATTCAATTCAGCAGCGGAGGAGAAGTATTTAGCTTTATTTCCATTTACAATAACATCAATTAGTCTTCCTTCTCCCACCAGAGCACTAAAGTACAAGGGTTTACTTTCAGTCTGCTGCCAATAAAAATTAATACTGAGATGATTTGAAATTACCTGGCCTGAAACATTTATTAAGAAAGGGGAGAAATCAGCAACATAAATATTTTACAGATAACAGGAATAAACTGTACTAAATCTTTTTTGCACTAAATCTGTACAACTATTTAACCTGAGGTACTGGAGTTTTTACAGTGTGTGACATTCCACAGCAAATTCCAACCATCTATTTTATCTCTGCTTCACTGCTTTAAAGACACATTTATCATGATGCAAATTCATAGAAAGCTGTCCTTAGGCAAAAAAAAAAAAAAACCCAAAAAAGAGTAAGTGCAAAGGTGGGAAAAAAAGCTTGGAGTACTAGCTTGTAATGAATCATTTATTCAATAAATTTAGTTCTATTCCTGTTTACATATTGCTCATGACTTTATGACAATTCTGCTGATTTTTCCGCTTCTTTTTTTTTTTTTAATTTTCTATTAAAACTCAATGTAATATATATCAAGCAATCAAACCATTCAGTATTCAAACTCTAGCAATTGCTTTGTTTGAATTCATGTTTTGTTAGTTAAGGCTGAAAAGATCTTAAGGACACTTGGATCTTAAGAAAAACACACAGATATCTTAAAAGAAATGAGCTTTTTTCTAGAGAAAATGCCATTAGGAAACACACATCATTCATCCTACATCCTCCCTTGCTCTGGGGTTGTTGAATAAAATAATGAGATGTTAATACAACATGTAAGTGTTCTGAAATTGTTTCCTAGAGCACTTTATGTTGAGGAGATTTTATCAATTAACCTGGATAAATATTCCTGTCGTTAGGCAGGGAGCTCATGAGTTTGAAAACTTGAATAGCAAGCAAAATGCAAATCTTGACTGATTTGTGCTCCATTAAGCGATGGGTTAAAGGCATATGAACCGTCTAATAATAGTGAATATACATGAGCCCATGGAGGTCCATGCCATTATGGAAACACTGACCAATCTTTTGTCCCTCATGTTTGCACATTAGATACAGCAGAGGGAGAAAATGTAAAAAAAAACACCATCCTTCATAAAAAGGCATATAAGGCCAACCTGCTGAATTGCTGAAGTGCTGCTGTGACAAGAAAGAGTGCTAATGCAGAAATCATTGCACAGAGCTGGAGAACTGATTCAACCTGCTCCTGAAAAAAAAAAAAAAATTAGCACACCAGCTTAACTTGATCAATTCTGAGAAAAGAAAGCATAATAAAGTAATTGCTGGGGGACCTAAAAGAAAAATTCTAAACCTAAATTTTACATTAGTATGTTTAATACATTCAGTCTCAAATATGCTGAGCACCTCTGAATCGTGTTGCTAAGGGACCTCCAACAGACAACAGAAGCATCTCTGTGGTTTTGGAATTCAGATTCCTACTGCAAATACCCAGTGGTTCTATCACTCACCCGTCACAGGCACCCTGACTTCCTCCAATAATCCCCATCCCTTTTCTATTCTGCAAATTGCTCATCTGTGGGATGATTCTTTGTGTCACACGTGTTGTAGTTGAGGGGACACTTTTCAACCGCACACCTTGAAGGTGGGTCCTCAGCAGTTAAATAGATGCCTTTTGTTCTGAAGTTCTTGTTGCTGTCCCTCGTGTCAGGCACATTTCAGCCCTGCCCCTGCTGAAATGCATTTTAATCTAGGACTTATCAGAGTGTCATGAAGAAAAAGCAAATGGTAGGAGGAAAGGTGCAAGGCTGACTGTTAGCTGAAAATGTTAAACTACTTCAGAGTCCAGAGAATAAAGCAGCATTTTGGTTTTGGTCTTGTCAAAGCAAAGTTTGTCACAGAAAACAGCCCCGCTTTGGTTATCCCAGGTCAAACAACACAACTAAAGCTGTGCCTGCTGTAAAAAGTTTTGAGAAATAGGGGCAGTTTGTCACATTCTTGAGAGCACTCATACAATATTAACTTTAAAATTCCTACAAGTGATTACTCTAACTCCATACAGTATAGAAACATTGAAGGTCATGTCTTAGACTATTTCTAAGGGAAAAGCTTTTTTCTCTGGGTTTCCAATAAAGTTTCACAAATGATTTATGATCCTAACTGTCTAGAAATACTAATGATTCTGGGCCATTTATGGATTTCTGTTGAATTTTAATTACACCCACAGATAAGGCTTCTACACTTTAAAATGCAAGACTGATATTCAGAATGTGAGAATCTTAGAGATCTTAAAGCCTTGCTCCATATAAACATGTTTCCTGTGAGAATGAATGTAGGCTTATTTTAAATTGATACACCTTCTAGTACTTTTGTTTGGAAGGAAAATGATAAGCATGA